ATAATATCTGTACATCTACAAGTAACTGCTCCTCGGAAACACTATACAAGCTTGCTATGAGTCAGAATCAACTGGATGCACTTAACAACAAAGATCAGTTGTTACCACTATTATTCAAATGTAAACACCAACCACTAAAGCCAGTGATGATTAAATTGAAGAATTCTACCAACTTCTTCAAGAAGCCCTGGGAGCATAACAGGTTACAAGTTGGGCTGCTAACTTCAAGGTCAGCAATTTGAATCTACCAGCTGCTCCGTGGGAGAAATATGAAGATTTCTGCTCTTGTAAAGATTTACAGCCTCAGAACCCCCATAGAAGGTTGTTATGAGTAGGAACAACTCCATGACACACAACCAACACCAACAATTTCTTCAGTCTGAAGTTGATCAAACATTCAATCAAGATGCATTGATAATTACTAATGATTACTGGAATGCAAAAACTGGAAGCAAAGAAGAAGGATCAGTATTTGGAAAATATTGCCTCAGTGATAGAAATGATGCTGGTGATTCCAAGATAGAATTTTGCAAGACCAATGACTTACTCATTACTAGTATCTTTTTTTTTTCCAAACAACAATAATGACAACTATACACCTGGGCCACACCAGATGGAATACACAGGAATCAAATTGACTATATCTGTGAGACGAAATGATGCAGAAGCTCAAAATCATCAGCCAAAACAAGGCCAGGGGCCGACGGTGGAACAGAACATCAATTGCTCATATACAAGTTCAGTCTGAAGCTTGAGAAAATTAAAACAAGTCCATGAGAACCAAACTATGACCTTGATTATACCCCACGTGAATTTAGATACCATTTCAAGAATAGCTTTAATGCATCCGACACTAATAACCAAAAACCAGAAGGGTTGTGGGATGACATCAAGAACATCATACTTGAAAAAAGCACAAAACAGGAAGAGAAGAAAAGACCAAAATGAGTGTCAGAAGAGACTCTTAAATTTGCTTTTAAGCGTAGAGCAGTTAAAGCAACTGGAAGAAATGATGAAGTAAAAGAATTGAACAGAGTAAAGTCAATTATTATAATAAAATATACAAAGACCTGGAGTTAGAAAACCAAAAGGGAAGAACACACTCAGCATTTCTTAAGCTGAAAGAACTGAGACAAACTTCAGGCCTTGAGATGTGATATTGAAGGATTTTATGGGTAACGTATTGAATAACATTGTTGATATTGTTGTTAAGTACTGTGGAGTCGATTCTGACTCATAGTGATCCTGCACAGGGTTTCATAGGCTGCAAATCTTTACAGGAGCAGAAAGCCTCATCTTTCTCCCATGGAACGGCTGATAATTTCGAACTGCCGACCTTGAGTTTAGCAGCCCGATTCATAACCACTATGCTACCAGAATAACGTAGGAAACACCACAAGAAGATGGAAGGAATACCAAAAAAAGAAAAAAAAAGGGGGGGGCGGAGATTCTGAACGAGAAGAACAAATAAATCTGTCTTGGAGGAAATACAGCCAGAATGTTTCTGAGAAGTGAGACTGGAAACACTAGGCCTGTTGTATTTTGGACATATTGCCAGGAGGAGCCAGTCCCTGGAGAACGACATGTGCTTGGTAAAGCTCAGGTTCAATGAAAACCAGGGAGACCCCCAAGAAGATGGACTGACACAGTGGCAGCAATTGTGAGGCTGGTGTAGGAGCCATTGTGACAGAAATTCTACTCCTTTACCCAAGAGAAATAAACATATGCCCATGCTACAGCTTGTACGTGAATGACCATTTACATTACTACAAATAGCCAAAAAGTGAGAAACAAACTAAATGTCTATAAAGGACAAATGGATAAGCAAAATGTGTTTTTCCATACCAATAATAATAATAATAATAATAATAATAAAAAGCCAAACCCATGGCCAAGAAGTCAATTCTGACACACAGTGATGCAGCAGGACAGAGTCGAACTGGCCCATAGGGTTTCCAAGGCTGGATACCTGGTGTGGCACTGGAGGATCAGCACTGGATTGCAAACCCCAGGGTCAACAGTTCAAACCCACCAGCTGCTCCTCAGAAACCATTATGAGTGAGGTCTAACTTGACAACACTTAACAACAACAACAGTATATTCAGAGTTGAAACAGTATCACCAAAATTAATCTTAGAATCTTTCATCATGTCTAAAAGCAACCCCTTGCCTATATAAAAAATCACTCCCCATCCCTTCTTCCCATCCCTCAGTCCCAGGCAATCGCCAGTCTACTTTCTATCTCTATGAATTTGCCTATTCTGAATATTTATTTAAAATATTTTTTGGGGTACTTTTTAATTTTCTAGTACTACAAAATATTCTGGCTCATCTTCCACATTTCTGCCCAATTCTAGAATTAGGCAGTTTCCCAAGAATCCCTGGTTCCCTTTGCTGGAAATTAAGTTGTGGGTGTGAGGTATGTATCATACACATTCACATATGGACAAATCAAGATGTGTTGCTTACTAGAGTTCTAGTTCAGATATGCACGGTTTGTTCCAAACAAAATGTGTTTCAACATGTCTTGGTGATCTGCACATAACTGCAGACAAGTTCTCTTAGTAATACACTCGCTGAGTCACAGTAGTGGTTGGTGGTGGTGTGCTGTGGAGTCAGTTCTGGCACATAGGTTTCTGACGCTTTAAATCTTTACCGGAACAGAAAGCCTCATCTTTCTCCCATGGAACAGCTGGTGGTTTCAAACTGCCGACCTTGAGGTAAGCAGCCCAACTCGTAACCACTATGCTACCAGAGCTCCTTGAGTCTCAGTAGAGTGCTTGCAAAGAAAAAGGTCCAATTAACACAAAGGCTTCTGAGACAAGCTGCTGGACCACTTCAATTCAAGGCCGAGAGGTCAGCTCCAAAGGAACTATTTATTTTTAATTAAAAAAAAAAAATTCAAGGGAATAATCTTGATAGATCTACTCTAAGGACAAAAGGCTTTGGGGTTTATTATGAGGAAGTGTTAAGAAAACTGAAAACTACAATGGTTAAGAAAAAGACCTGGAAAGCTGAGCTGAGAATTTTCTTCCATTCTGACAACGCTCGGCTCGTTCTTCCAGGTAACAAAGGCTGTTCAAGAGAATTTCATTGGGAAACTTGACGCCATCCACCCTTCAGCCCTGATCTTGCCCCTTCAGACTTTTTGTCCCCCAAACCCAAAGAACTGAAAAGAAACATAATTTGAATCCCCCAAGGATACCAAAATTGTCATTTTGCCATGGTGTAAATCAAAGAGCACAGACTTTTTCAGGGAAGGGTTAGAGAGATGGCAACACGGCCTTCTGACATGGACAGACCTATTGCGCATGTGTGGAGACACCATAGCTTTATGTTTTGATCTTTTTGTTTAGTAAAGATGTCTTAAGATTTCATAGCAATACTTTTTGACGTACCCTCATACGTGCCCCTTTGCAAAAAGACATGAGCGCTTCATGTCTAGTTTTACCTTTGAGTTTTCTAAAAGACGAGCGATGTATTAGTTACAGGTAAGGATTAAAGTACTAAAGATCTGCTTTGAGTCTTGCGCTCTTTTAAGAACTCTCTTGTTGTTGTTGTGATGTGCCGTGGAGTCAGTTCCAACTCACAGCGACCCTGTACAGGGTTTCCGAGGCACCTTGTAAGATAAGATAGGGATCTTAGCAGGGGACAAGTTTATAGTAATTAGGGAGGAACAGTAAGGTGAGGATGGTGGCACAATTTAAAGAATGTAATCAGTGTCTCTGAAGTGTTCATAGAGACATTGTTAAGTTAGTGTAGGTTTGTGGACATTCTCAATGATAACAGAAAACAAAATAAATGATTTAAAAGTAGAGACTCAAGAGTCAAAGGTTTTGCATTCATATTAAAACCCCAGCACTTGAATCCTGTATAGCTTTAGCTTCTCTGTGGCTCCGTTTTATCATGCATAAAATGGAAATAAGGATATCGCCTACCTCATAGGGTTGTAGTAAAGATTAATGAAGGCAATCTTTACATGTAATGTGTTTAATTGTGCCTGCATCAGGAGCTACTTTCTCTAGTACACTGAGTCAACTTATGTACAGTAGAAGGAATTGTTTGGCCTGCGTCACCCTCAGCTTCATCCTCACAATAGCAGGCATTCTTATATCTACCTCACCAAGAGTCTCCATTGCTCTCCTGGGCCCTCTACTTCACCAAACATAACATCCTCCTCCAGCGACTGATCCCTCCTGATGAAGCACCCAAGCTAATCGGACAGTGTTCTATTGTAGTCTATAAGGTTTTCACCGGATAATGAATAGAAGTAGATCACCAGACCTTTCTTCCTAGTCTGTCTTGGTCTGGAAGCTTCACTGAAACCTGGCCACTACGGATGAGCCTGCTGGTATCTGAAATACCTATAACATTGCTTCCAGCAACGCACAACAACACACAAACTACCACAAGGCAACAGACTGACAGATGTTGGTGCTTGGCAACCAATAACTGTGCAGATGCTGCTGGGGGTTGTAATGAGAGTTTATTTGAAGAGAGAAGTACGTCTACTCTCTCTGTTCTTTGTATTAAGTGAATTGCCTAAGAGCATGTTCAAACGGGGGTTCCCATAGTTCTAGTGTGGCGCCATAGGATGAACACTCAATCTCAAGGTTGGTTTGAACTGCAAGGTTGACGGTTCAAACTCACCAGCCGCTCCTTGGAAACCCTATAGAGGGTCACTCTGAGTCGGAACCAACTTGAGGGCACTTTACAAGAACAACAATAGGGCCTTGGGCATCGGTGACACTCTGCTAACCCCCGGTGAAATGTTTTGTTTTCCCATAAATGGGTACATGAGCACTGCTACTTGGCCTGTGGCAATTCTCCGTGTGAATTATTAAGGCTAGAATTCAGAAACTGCTATGTGGAAACAATTGATATTTTAAATAAATACAATCATCAGAATATGTAATTTTAAGATGTCAAATACCTTAAGAATAGGATTTTTAAATGTTTATTCTGGAGTGAAAACGTTATTTTCCTTTCCCTTTAGTGGTCTCGTTGGTCGAAGCTGGGCCATGCTGTTTGCCAGTGGAGGCTTCAAGGTGAAACTCTATGATATTGAGCAACAGCAGATAACAAATGCCCTGGAAAACATTAGGTAAGTCAGCTGACACTGTGCAGGAGGCATGGGAATTAACTGGGTTGCTCTCAGTTGATCTTGCTTATCATATTCCCTGTAGTTTCACACTTTCATTTGAGGGCTTTTGCAGTGTGTTTGAGCTGAAAGGTCTGACCTAAGGTGACTGAGCTAGGAATCCAGACTGGAGAAGGAATTCACAGTCTAAGGAGAAAACGATTTGGATTGTCATGGAAGTGATGGACGCAAAGTTGTTGGACCTAAATCTTGGGTTTCTAGACTGAATGAGTTCGTAAACTTCTGGTGTGTCACACAAGGCTGAGGGTTTGGGGTTCCTGTTTCTTCCTCGGCAGGAGCACCCACCTTCAGCACCTGATAGCCAAAGTGTGTGTGAGTTCGTTTTTAGGAACAGTCGTCCTGTGGCTTATTAGTGATGGCAAGACCCAAATTGAAAGAATCATGAGTTTCAGTTTGAGATTTATTCTCAGGGGATCCATAGGTGACCACAACAGAGCTCACCATGGAGGTTATTGTCAGTAATCTAGACAGATTAATTCTCTTAATAAACCCAAAGAGGCAGATATCCATCACCACCGTTATATGAGGAAACTTAGGTCTCTAAATGGTCAGTAAGCTGCTCAAAGACATATTAAGATATAAGATTCCAGACATGGTCTCTCTGATTTCAAAGACATTGTTAAGGGTGGGCAGGCCTAAGCATCTTCAGCATTTATCCTAGAGACTCTGTAAGTATTGCTTAAAACATAACATCTGCCACTCACTGGAAACTCTATACAGGGCACTTAACAACAATCGAATCCTGGTGTGGTGCTATAGGATAAGCACTGGGCTGCTAACCACAAGATCAGTGGTTCAAACCTATCATTTGCTCCTCAGAAGCTCTGTAAAGGGTCACTATGAGTTGGAACTGACTTGATGATACTCAACAACAACAAACTATAAGGCTGATTGGTGGCACTGTGGGCTAAGTTGGGCTGTTAACTGTGAGTTGGGTGGTTCCCTCTCACCAGCTGCTCTGCAGGAGAAAGATGAGGCTATGTGCTCCTCCAGTAAAGGGTCACAGTCTTCGAGCACTATGTAGGGTCATTCTGAGTTGTACTGAATCCATGACAATAGGTTTGATTGGTTTGGTTGAACAAGTAATGGTTTAGTTTGGCTCATTATTGGACTTCATTAGCTTTGTATTGCTGAGATTCATCTAATATTACACGCAGCTGTTTGTTGTTGTTGTTAGGTGCCATCGAATTGGTAACGACCCATAGTGACTGTATGCACAGCAGAATGAAACACTGCCCTATCCTGGGCCAACCTCACTACTGTTACCACACTTGAGTCCATCAATGCTGCCACTTGGCCAATCCATCTC